TCTTTCTAATAGAAAGCTAGGGCAAACTTAACACGGTGCTTATTGTGTATTACAAACAGTTAGAATTTTTTATTAAAGGTACAGTTTTTTCAGTGTCAAACAGCATTTTGACAACTTTATATTCTGATACTTTTTATGCGTTGATCTTTCTGATGTTTAGGGTCTCAGCGCATTTGATCGTTGCTATCGCCGGTACACCGTTGCAAGCCAGAGACTGTAATTCGCTAATTTGTGTAACACGTAAGAATATTACGGATTTGATTTATTTGATGGTCTTGTGAACATATCGGGAATAATTGTGATCTTGGCGGTCTCCAGTGACATATGGATTTTGGCGGTTGCCCATTTCAAATGGGCGATAACTAAAGGTTCCATTACATGGTATGTCTTGTCACTCAAAACTAGCGTGTCCCTACTATACATATGGTTATATTAGACACCTGAAAGTCGAAAAGTATAATATATCAAACATGTCTATCGTACTTGATATTTTATAGCGATGTCACGACTAAATTTACGAACAACAATCTGAACACAAAACAAATCCATATATAGAGATAGAGAGAGAGATAGATAGATATTGATAGATAGACAGATAGAGAGATAGATAGATATATAGATATATATATATAGATAGGTAGATAGATAGATAGAGAGAGAGATAGATATCCTTGTCGTCATCTGTTTTCGGCAACGATATCGTTGTGCAGTACAAATACAAATGCGCGATTTAGTTGTCGCGCTCCTAGCGACGTATAAGATACCATCTTTATAATGGGTGAGAGCGATTATTTGCGAACTACAATCCGAACACAAAGCATTTCCATTTTTACGAAGTATAGAAGACTATCGGAAGATGAGTATTTTTTTGTTGTTGTACTGTTATTATTTCATCAACATTATATTATTACAAACAATATATAACTTATTTTTGGCGTCTATTTGTGTCTTGCATATGTTTATTTTTTTATAGTCTCTTCTCTTTGTTATTCTTTGTGTACTTTAGTTTTTGCGAAGTGTTGTGAGTTTGTGTAACATACGTTGAGTTCTCGTTTTGGTAATCCGACTATTTCGTAAATCGTCGTGTGTCCCCGTATTCTTTGGTGTGTGAACTGTGTTAAATCGTCTGTTGCAAAATAAGACCCGACCGGCACGCGGGAAGTGGTACGTCCAGTAAGAGCCTGACCGTGGTCAAACTTCTGGATTTCAATCAAGCAAAGGTATGAATATGTTAGTACACACACACACACAGACAGACACACAGACAGACAGACAGACAGACAGACAGACAGACAGACAGACAGACAGACAGACAGACAGACAGACAGACAGACAGACACACACACACACACACACACACACACACACACACACACACACACACACACACACACACACACACACACACACACACACACACACACACACACACACACACATTTGAGATGATTGCCCAGGGTGTATTTCTCTCCTGACTTCTTTGTCATATTTTTGGGTAGTTTTGACTTTGACTGTTCTCTGGTACATTTAAGATAAAACCATGACTGAGGTTGATGTGACAACTGTAAGCTTTCCTTTTATATCCTCATTAGAACAACCACTGGAAGTAGTAAGAAGAAGGAATAGAAACAACCAATAAAAACCGCTAGCGCTCTATTCATAATCCTCCAATTCCAGGGAAACAAAGCTAAAATGAACACATTTAAAAATTACATAATTGAGTTTTAATATTTCATTGCAAGTCAATCAAGGCTGGGGTTCGCTAGTTTTAAAGCTCATACAGGAGTTTCAGTACAGACCCCAAAACAATACTAAATCTTTACAAGATCAGTTTTTGATTCTTTCTACCCAAGCCTACAGAGATATATTTGCTGAAAGTGTAATTTCCCTCCAAAGCCACTTTCACTTTTTGCTTGTTTAAGCCTTTATCTTTTCATTCTGGTCTTCAGTGAGTGACAGGAGTACTCCTTCTGACGGAGATATCAAATCTTAAAAGAAAAAAATATGATTAGCTTAGTCTCTATTTTTAAAATCATGGCACAGCAGCATTTTCCTACACTTTAGGATAACTCTGGTCTTCCTAAATAAATAGGAATACTCTCCCTATTGCCTCAAGTCAGAACACTTTCAACTCAATGTTTAATTCCCAGTCCTTTGTGTTTAGGTCAACGAAACACAAACTGTATCTCAACACTACTGCCATGCTATAATTCTTTTTTAACCCCCTTTCTGCCTTTTTGGGTATCTTTTATACCTTCCTCTCCTTTCACTAGCTCTCCCCCGTCTCCCATCTCCTTATCTCCTTCCTCCTGTCGAGATGTCACACGCTTGAGAAAACCGAACAGAACGCTCTGGCCCTACTTGACAGCCTCCTGCAATACGTGTGTATATGTGCATAAGTGTGTGTGTGAACGGAGCGATTATTGGCAGTGTGTGCAGTGCAGCATGTCAGTACACAACAACTCAACTCCAACCACAAACTGCATGATTCCTTTATGCGATGTTTGGTCATATGGGAATTCACACACACACACATTTACAACACACATATAATACTGTTGCTGTGTTATTTCCCTTAGTACAATGCATGTTGAACGCTGTGAACTTTTGCACTGTGTGTTGATTTCAACCGCCTGATGTCTTGAATCACACACAGCTGCTCTGCCTTCACAGGAAGTGACGATTGCGGCTGTTAGCTAGCTAGCTAACTAGCAACGCTAACGTTCGTGTTTTAGTTACTTAATAAGTTATTAAGGCTGCTTGATTACCCAAAAATGAATAGTGGCTTCTTTCCGAAACCATTATAAATGGAATGTTTATTGAATACTGAAATAAAAACACAAGTATAACATTTTCTATAGTGCTGTGTTCATCGGACAACCGCGACCCTGTCTAGTTGCACAACTTTCTCTATGGATCCAAGATGCTGATCATTAAATGCAAG